CACTGCATTATATTGAATTTATTTATGAACAATAAATATTAAATCTTCGGCTACTTATTGACAGCTTATGTCAATTATATTTTTTACACTATGAAATTGTATATTTATCAATCAATTTTTTAAAAAATGAAATACACAAAAAACTGATTGTAAATAAGGTACAAAAAGACTACGCATTTAATATTTATTTTAATACCCGGTACATTTATTTGTTTGGTAATTGAAAAATGTTACGCATAAAAAAGAAAAAAATGCATATATTTCAATTTTAATAACAAAATTTTATAAATAGAAAGAGAATAGCAGAATGTTACGCTTAAATTTTATCACGAATTTAAACACTTTTAAAGCTAAAATATATAAATGAAAAATTTTTGTCATATAACATTATTCAATAACAATTAGAAAATATATTTTTAATTTTATACATTACTAGCTGTCGTACCCGTCTTCGACGGGTTTTAGTTTCTACCAATACATTTAAGTTTCTACCAATCTGGAAAATCAGGAAATAGCTAGGGAATTTAATTTGACCGGAAAAAAATAATAATTAGTTACCATTATAGCTATTTTAGTAGGAAAATATTACTATTTGAATCAGTGATTGACTTTTTGTTATCAAATTAGTTATTTTAACCAATTCAAATGCAGAGAACAATATTTATCAATTTGTAGTACTTTAATTAATGTATCAAAAAAATTAAATTTTCCATACAGTTTTTGGAGTTATAGTAGAGTCTAATTGGAACTAATTGTATCGCAAGTAGACCCTACGTTACGACTGCTAAAACCTAACATAAGACCTAAATTTTAGGCTGAAAGTAGGGCTTAAATTTTGACTCGGGTCTGTTTTCATAAATATTATACATCAATAAAAATTGAAGTAAAAAGCAATTTTTTAAAAGCGAATTAATATAATGAAACTTTTTCTTAATTTGATAGGAAAATTCCCGGTTCGGCATATTCCAAGCTTTTTACAGTTTTTCCCGTTTGGTAGATACCCAGTTAAATGTATTAGTATAAACAGAAAACTGTACGACAGCAAGTAATACAATCTATATTTATATGAACTTAAGAAACAGTATTTTCATAAAATAAGTAAATTTTTATAGCCATTTGTAGATTTATTTATGGATAAAATCAAGTAAATTTAAATTTGACAAAAAAGAGATAAACCGTGAAAAGTTTGGACAAAGCAGGGAATTTTGTTAAACAAAAATAGACACCGTGTTAACTTTTGTCTTTACATTGCTCAAAACATCTCTTAAAGTTAAATCTAGAGTTAAAATGAAAAAACGTTTTAACATGTAAGTTTTTGCCTAGTGGCATAATATGCTTGTATTGTATCACAGGTGACTTACAATTCTTGACATCCTGCGAAATCATTTTAATCATAAAAAATTTCCATTTTCAATATTTCTGAACTTCTTGAAAATATTAGATTGATTTGATAAATAATTTTGAATTGCACTATTTTGACATCAAAATATTAATCATAGAGACTCCAAAAATACTACTGAATTATACTTCATATAGTAATTAGTATCGATTTTTTGATATATTGAAAATTTTTTTATATTTCTTGTAGGATAGTATTTTTTGGAAAATTATGATAAAATCTGACTAAATAACATATAATATTCATTTTTAGAAAGTTTAAAAGCTATCCATTAAAAATTGTGAAATTTGGAAATTTTCCATTTTTCAAGTTTTTGAAAATATTTTTATATTTACATCTTAGTTGTAGAATAGTATTTTTTGAAAAATTATGCTAAAATGTGACCAAATAACATGTAATACTCAAATATAGAAAGTTTAAAAGCAATCCATAAAAAAATGTAAAATTTTGAAATTTTCGATTTTTTGAAAACATTTTTATACTTACATATTAGTTATAGGACTTTATTTTTTGCAAAGTTATGCTATAATGTGACTAAATAACATATAATACTCAAGTATATAAACTTCAAAAGCAATCCATGAAAAATAAAAAATTTTGAAATTTTCGATTTTTTGAATTTTTTGAAAAAATTGAATATCTCCCGTTCTAATTAATATTTTTTAAATCTGTAAATTTATAAACCTTCCTTGGGTCAATACCTAATAACCTACCAAGTTGGACTTAAATCGATTCACATGTTTTTGTGTGATTGGGGTACAAAGTTTTTGTGACAGACAAACATACATACATACATACATACATACATACATACATACATACATTAAATTTTTTAAGAACATTTTTGGAATCTCTGATGTCCATAATAACTAATCATGTTAACATTTTGAAGTTTTAAGCAATGTACAGACAGACATCTGATTTTATTAATAAGGATTGAGTTAATATTATTACAAATACAATTCATTATAGTTATTATTAAATTAAATTTATATTAAAAAAATGTATGTGTAAGTAATTTCCCCACAAATGTAAATTATAAAATAAATTCAAAATTCCATACTTTTAAAATTAATTTTTTTTTCCGAAAGACAAAGTGATGAACTTCAGTTCAATCGTGAAAACAAAAATTCAACGAAAAATATGTTAAATTTACACAATTTTTAAAGTTTAATAAAAAAATAACGAGTAGAGTGCCCACGAAAATTTTAATTAAAACGGAATTATAATATTAGTAAGAATTAAATTCAAAAGGTTTTATTGAAATTCCTTTTTCTCCACAGGAGATATACGTAAAAGAAAAAGACCTTCATAATACTTTGCCAGATCAAAAAATACCGATTTAACTATTTCTGTGAGTACTTTTGTGATAATTTACGTTTGTTTTATTGTATTTAGTAAAAATATACTTAAAATAATAAAAAAAAGTATTTTTTTTCATTTTACAATAACTTTTACTGAGTTGTTGTAAAATGGGTTATGTTTGGCAGCGTAACCTGCTAAATATTTAAAAAACTTATTTACGGAGAAGTAAAACATTTTTGGTGATAAAAACCCGCAAATAGGAATCAAATTGTATTAAATAACATTATATTTCAATTACAGCCATTTCGGAAATCATCGAGCAACCAGCTCTAGACGATTTTCGCTGGAATGACCCTCGAAGAAAAAAAAACGAAATTCGCAGGTCCAAAAGTGGGGAAATTCTGTTGAAAAATTTCATGTTTTTAGTTAACAAATGGAATAAAACATAAACTTTTTGTCCGATCGGGTTGACTTTTTTTTTAATTTATTCAGCTTCGCAAGGAGAATATTCCTGGTGAGTTGTAAACAAATTCAATAATTATTAACAAAGTTATTAAACAATTAAAAAAGTGCTATTTTTAATGGTTTAAATTCATTTGCAACTAAACTAATTAACCTTTTTCAACGTATGACCAATCATTTGAAAGGTATTTTTAGGCTCTACAACTTTAAATAACAACTTTTTCCTCTAAAATTTAACCGGAAGCAAGGGTCATCGAAAAACTACGTTTCTCGAACTTTGACGATTGTTTACACTATTTTTTGCAACCGGAAATCGAGAGCAAACCATGGGGCTCTTATATGGGGCCCCCAAACTACAAGAAACTATTGAGACTTTTCAAGTTGCACTTTTGTGCACTTTTTGCACTCACCGACTGGCCTAAGGGTGATATTTGGGAATTTTCTTTTTAAAGTAAGTTTATCATTTTTTCGAATTGTCATTTTTACGAAATGTCACTGTTGCGAATTGTCATTTTTGGGAAAATTGCTATAGTAAATCTATATATGCATACAAGTTTACTATAGCAATTTTCGCAAAAATGACATTTCGTAAAAATGACAATTCGAAAAAATTGCAGTTTGCATAAATGACAATTCGCAAAAGTGACAATTCGTAAAAATGGCAATTCGCAAAAATGATATTTCGTAAAAATGACGTTTCGGAACAATAACTGTTCGTAAAAATGACAATTCGTAAAAATGATATTTCGCATAAATGACTTTTCGCAAAAGTGTCAATTCGTAAAAATGGCGTTTCGCAAAAGTGACATTTCGTTAAAATGACAACTCGAAAAAATGACATTTCGGAACAATAACTGTTCGCAAAAGTGACAATTCGTAAAAATGGCAATTCGCAAAAATGATATTTTGTAAAAATGACGTTTCGGAACAATAACTATTCGTAAAAATGACAATTCGTAAATATGATATTTCGTAAAAATGGCGTTTCGCAAAAGTGGCATTTCGTTAAAATAACAGTTCGGATAAATGCAATTCGGTAAAATGACAGTTCGGTCAAATGACATTTGGGGAATAATCATGCGCTTCATTTTCCTTTCTAGTTCGCAAATATGACAGCCAATCAGGTTTGCTATATTTTTCCTGTAACCTACACTTAAAGTTGAGTATGTGTACCGAATTTTAGCTCACTAGGTCATGATATGTAGAAGTTAAGGTGGGGGGACAGGATCATTTGTCGTAATTTTTTCTGAAAAAATCGTTTTCATTCAGTGCTAGTTCGTAACTATGACTTTTAATCGGATTCGCTATGTTTTTCCTGTAATCTAGAAGTGAAAATACGTATCTGTACCGAATTTCAGCTCACCAGGTTGAGATATGTAGAAGTTAAGGGGGGGCAGCCTATTCTGAGTGTCTGGGACGGACACACGAGTGATTTCATAAGGGTTCCGTCAGTACACCTACGGTGTACGGAACCCTAAAAAGATTTAAAAATCTTAAATAATTTGTAAATTTCTTGAAATACAATATTTATTTTATTACAATTTAAAATAATTCGATTATTTTTGTTTTTAAAAATTTTGCTACAATAAATTATCAAAAAATTAATCTTAATTCAATTTCTTAATAAAATATTTTTAAAAAATTTGATTTTTCAAACACAGTTAATATTTAATTATTAAAAAAAATGTAGGTAAGAAAAATATAAAAATTCTAATATCTAGGATCTAGGAAATAGAAATTACTTTATGTGATTGAATTTTTAAAAGATCCTTTTAATAATTATAAAATTTAGTATTTTTAACACGATTTTCAATTGATTTTTTTTAATTTGTAGGTGACAATCGATTATAGACCAGTAATTGATGAAACGCTTGACTCACAAGAATGTAAAACAGTACCACCAGCAATTCGTTCATATTAGAAAACTTTGAGGAATTATGCATTAAAAGAAGCAAAAAAAAAAGAAAAGAAAACAAAATGTTAGTTTAAAATTTTTCTTACCAGATTATCTGGTTAAATGATGTGAATTGTACGTGCGTCGAATATCAACTGCAATGTGAGTCTCGGTTTGAGAACTCCAATGCGACCCAATTATTGCTAACCACACCAATCATTTTTCACTAACAAGCAATGATCTAATTTATTCTCTCGATTGTATTTCGTTGTGCACCAAAGTGTAATTCTTGTCAGTACTTGAATACGTTTTACGTGATCAAGCTCAACTTTTTTCTAGGATGCTGGTGCTGAATTTCATTTCAAAATGATTGAAAACAAAAAAATAAATTGATTCTTTAAAAAATGGAAGAATAAAAGAGCCCAGTCGTTCTCCGAAATATTATGAAGGCTGTATAATATAAGAATTAAGGAATTATACATAAAAAAATAATGTCGATCTTACTTTACACGCCTTTTAAGGAGATATTTATATTCCTTTATATATTTTCCAGATTTTGTTTTGAAAACTTTTATCGAATTTTTTAGAAATTGTTTTCTTTTTTGAGATATAAATATATATATATATATATATATATATATATATATATATATATATATATATATATATATATATATATATATACAGTGCCGCTCAATAACTTTTGCCCACCCTACAGCGATTGAGAGCTGTACAAAAAGTTTTGTATTTTGTTTATTATTAAAGATAAAAAGCTTAAAAAGGTCTCTTTTTAAAGCTCTTTTCCTGAGCTTTAACACTGTATAAAATAAAAATTAAAAAAATTAATTTGTTAATGTTTAAAAAATGTTATTGCAACATAAAATTTTTCGTTTTTTTTTGTTTTTTTAAAGTGATACAGTTTGTTAGGAAATGGTCGCATTTTAATCCCATATATATTTTCTGAAAGCTAGTTTTATCACCTTTAAAGTGCATTTTTTAAAAATTTTATACGATAATTTTTAAGAAAAATATGATTTTTTGTTTAAAAAAATAGCAATTTCTTCCAATTGTTGACAACTCAAAAACGGTTACTTTAGGAAAAAATTTTTAAGAACATAAATTATTCCTTTTTATGTGCAGAATTAGAAAAAAAATATTAAAAATTTTTTTTTTCAAAAAATTTTTTTTGACTTTTTTTGAAAAAAAAATTTTTTTTCAATTGTCGATAACTCAAAAACGGTTACTTTAGGAAAAAAATTTTTAAGAACATAAATTGTTCCTTTTTATGTGCAGAATTAGAAAAAAAATATTAAACATTTTTTTTTCAAAAAATTTTTTTTGACTTTATTTGAAAAAAATTTTTTTTTTTCATTTTTTTATATTTTTTAGTTTTAATTGTAGAAAAACGCAAAAAACTTTTTTTTGTTTTAAA